TCTCCTGGGCAGGTGGGCCTGTGGACTTCACCTTGAGACGGTGTTGGAGTGAGCTGACCCCAGCAGGACCCTGAATTGTTCAGAAACATTCAGTGGTTCAGAATGAGAAAAGTGCAGGAGAGCTGTGTGGCGAGCCCGCGGACCACGGACTCGTGCAGGGTGGACGGTTTGGTTTTGGGTCCCCTTCTCCCCCCATCCCCCCATCCCCCGTCATCTACAGTCTTCATGGCTGCAGAGTTAATCCTGTGTTTTCCATTGCCCGCTGTAAAGCAGTTTTATAATAATCATGGTGTTTTTTAATCATAAATACAAGACCATAAGAGCCTTTCTGTTGTAACCCACTGTGGTGAGAAATTAGTTTTGGGTGGAGACTTGCGTATACCCTGCCTGCGATTGTACTGGCGTGTTCTTAGGAAGCGCTGATAGAGGAGTTAATCACAGTGGAGGTATTTGAGCCGACTCTAATTTCACGCACTGCAGGGCTTTCTAACCCAGCATCTCACCGACTCCACAATAGTCCTGTGAGGTGGGCGCTTTGGTATCTCCACTTGGAAAATGAGCAAACCCAGGGCTGAGGCGTGAAGGACATTTCCCAAGGTCGCACGCACAGAGAACTTGACCTGGTTCTTTCTGATACCCCACCTACAACGCTTCCTTTAAAAAAGAAGAAAAAGAACGTATCTTTTATTGAGGCAGCTTACAGGTAGTAACATGCACAGCTCTAAAGTGACATTCGATGAATTTTGCAGATGTATCCACCCACGTGGCCAACTCCCCAATAAAAACACGGGCACTTCTTTCACTGCACAGTGTTCCTTTGTTGTGTCAGTCAGACCCTCTGCCCCCCGCCCCGCTTCTCCCACCCCCAGACCGCAGGGGAGTGGAAACAAACGCTGTGTACTCTTTTGTGTCTGGCTTCCTTCGCCCAGCACAACATTGTGGAGACTCACCTGTGTTGTTGATTATTGTCATTCGTTCTTATTCCTGTATATGAATGTACATAATGTATCAACCCACCTACCTGTTTAGGGACATTCAGATGGTTTCCAGTTCTTTGCTACTTTATGAATAAAACTTTGGGGAGCGTTTGTGGAGGGTACAGTGCTGGACTACAGGCAAGATGTCTCCTGACCTGTAGAGTGGTGTGCCGTCCAGGCCAGCATTTGGTATTATCTCAGCTTTTACTTAGCCATCGAGGTGGGTGTGAAGTGGTATCTCATTGTAGTTTTAATTTGCATTTCCTTAATGACTGACGGTGTCAGGCACCTTCTAATGTGTTTATTGGCCATTTGTATGTCATTTTCTGCGAGTGTTTTGTCTTCTGTCCTTTACAAAAGGTTTGGATGACTTGTACCTTTATTGCAGGTTTCTGAGGCGCACACATCTTTGTCAGATACAGATCTTGTGGAAATGGTCTCCCCAACTGTACTTTGCCTGTTCCTTCCCGTGTCCTTTGGGAGCGGAATCCTATCCTGTATAATAAAGAGCTAATATGCTAATTAGACCAGATGGCGGAACGACCAGTG